GGGGGGGGGCCGCTCGGCGGGCTGACGGCCGCTGTCCCCGCCTCGCAGGTCGGCTGCTCCGGGGTCTTCGAGCTGAAGCTGCAGGAGTTTGTCAATAAGAAGGGGCTGCTCAGCAACCGCAACTGCTGCCGCGGGGGGGGCCCCGGTGGCGGCGGGCTGCAGCAGTGCGACTGCAAGACCTTCTTCCGCGTCTGCCTCAAGCACTACCAGGCCAGCGTCTCCCCCGAGCCCCCCTGCACCTACGGCAGCGCCATCACCCCCGTCCTCGGTGCCAACTCCTTCAGCGTCCCCGACGGGGCGGGCGGCGCCGACCCCGCCTTCAGCAACCCCATCCGCTTCCCCTTCGGCTTCACCTGGCCCGTAAGTGAGGGGGGAGCGGCCCCCATCCCATCCCACCCTATCCCACCCCATCCCATCCCATCCCACCCCATCCCACCCACCCGGGCCACCCCAGCTGGGCGAACACCTTTCCAAGGGGCCACCGATCCCCCCCTCCCGGGGGTTGTCTGGGAGCGATAACTCCAGGCTTTGCTCCCCTGGCCCTGCCGGCTCTCACGCTCTCCCGGTGGGTTGTCTCTGCTTCTTCTTTCCCCAGGGCACCTTCTCGCTCATCATTGAAGCTCTGCATACGGACTCTCCTGACGACCTCACCACAGGTAACTGTCCCGAAACAGACTCTTCCCCAGAATAATCCCAGCCTGGCAGCCCCACTCGGCCCCTCTCTCTGCAGTGTGCAGCACATTCCCCCCCCCCCATCCCATCCCTGCTCTTCTTCGGGAGACCATGGGTAGAAAGGCCAACCTGTTGGCTCACGGCGCTATCCTCCTGCCTCTGCTGAGCTCAGCTCTGCTCCCCCAACCCCCAGCTGAGCATCTTCCTACACCCCTGCCCACTTCGGGCTCCCTAATCACGCCTCTCCTCTCCGCTTTCACGCAGAAAACCCCGAGCGCCTCATCAGCCGCCTGGCCACCCAGAGGCACTTGGCAGTGGGTGAAGAGTGGTCCCAGGACCTGCACAGCAGCGGCCGCACCGACCTCAAGTACTCCTATCGCTTTGTGTGCGATGAGCACTACTACGGAGAAGGCTGCTCCGTCTTCTGCCGCCCCCGGGATGATGCCTTTGGTCACTTCACTTGCGGAGAGCGTGGCGAGAAAGTCTGCAACCCGGGCTGGAAAGGCCAGTACTGCACTGAGCGTGAGTGTCCACCTTCTTGTCTCCCCGGGTGCTCGTTGTAGCTGTGTCCCCTGAGCTCTTGTGGGGTGGGGGCGGTTTCTTTGACATCAGGCCCCACGGGAGAGGGGAAACCAAGTAACGGTGGGTGGAGGTCTGGTGCTGTGTATGGGCTTTACTGGTGCGGGGGACGGGAGGTCCTCAGCATTGCCACAGAATGTTAATGCAGACAGCCCCTTCTCAAGCTAATAAAAATGTCAGTGCCAACATTACACTCTTCCTCATTTGCTGTAGGCATCAAATCTGACAGCAAAATGTTCGGCAGTTACTTGAGGATTTATTAAAATATGTCAGGACTACTTTGTATACCTAGCCACCGCTTCAACCATGGTACATTGGTATCGTCATCTTACAGGGTGCATGGCTTCAGGAGAGGCAGCTGGGCTGTGGCAACATCCACACACCCGCCTGTTGGCAGGCTTGTCATGGTCTGATGTCTTGCCGCTTCATGTTGAGAAAAGTGTTGGGAGGTCCAAGGTGCTCTCTGTGGCCTCTAGACCATACATTTCTCATTTGAGGCACTCATAAACTGCCACTAACAGAGATTGTTGCACCTGAAGCCGCATTCAGCTTCTTCCGCATCTCTCTTCTGTGCCATTGCCATGGTTGTTACTACTAGTAAAGCAGTGAGGGACGTGACTTTTAAAGTACGCCTGAGCTTGAAGTTGTTGAGGAATGCGGTGTGTTGATACAGCAGGAAAAGCTGGGACAGTAAGCAGATCACAAAGAGGATAGCCAGGGATGTCAGATACCTACAGCTTTGTACGGGATCGCCGCCCTTTGTAGAGACGCAGAAGTGTACACCCAAACATGCACACAGAGCTCCTGCTGCAGCATGTGATGGCATTCTCTGTTTGTGTGTATACACGGCTCTGAAGTACACTGGCAGATGACGTACTGAGTGAGTGCTCCTCTCCAGTCATCAAAGGGCCAGGCAGGCAGGGAGAAAACAGTTACAGGCTGTAAAGCAGCCTCTCGGTTTTCTTCTAGCTGTGTTTTTGTTTTTCTTAAAGCCCACCTGCACTGTGGTCTCAGCTGAGCTGCTATCAAACAAGCCCAGATTGATTACTCACACTGTTAGTGACTGCTAGGATGCTTTTAGCAGCTCATGGCACAATGTTGCACAATAAACAGCAGGCAGAGGGGCTCGCATTTCCTTTGATAGTGTTTTAAACAGGAACTACAACCTTTCCCATGATCAAAAGTGCCTAGCCCAGTTGTGTCAAGGGGTGGGGAAAAAGGAAGCATTTTGATAATGAGCTCTTTCGGGGCTGTCAGCACTTTTGGATGCCTGTACATCGCTGCTCTTCCCGTAGCAAAGTAGAAGGCTGTCCGTCTGTCTTGACTCGTTACATATGCTTTTCCCTCTGCTTTCCCTCTCGAAAAAGCCCAGCTTATAACAGCAACGCAAACCTACTAGGCAGGGGAGATGTGTTTATGTGTGCACGCAAAAAGAATGTTTTGCCGTTAGCGAGCGGAGCTGCCAGTCGCAGATTGCTTCCCGTCGCCTTGCCCCCAGCTCCATTCTTTCCAACTTGGAGGCGATCTGATTATCAGTGCCGATTCTTTCTTTCTTTTTCTTCCCCCCCTTCCCCTCGCATGCCATTGTCTCTGGCTGGCTTTGTTGAATTAAAACTTTGCAGTGCCTGCTTAATGAGTTCCATAACCAGGCGAAGTAATGAGCAGAAGTCCCTTTTTTCCCTTCCCTCATCCTCCCTCCCGCTGGCCCGCTTACCTCTTTTACCAGGGCTGCACCCACCCGCCTGCCCCTTTTCGGAGCGGGGCGGAGGGGGGGAGAAGGAGGGAGGAAGAACTTTAGACTTATTTATTTGAATAAGAAAAAAAAAGTTTTTTTGCAGCGAAATCACGCGCGTGCCATAGATTAGCTGTGGGCAGGGATAGGCTGCCCGGCCGCCGGCCGCCGGCCCCATTGGCTCCGGGGCCGGGGTATTGTTGCAGTGGGGCAGCTGCTGGGAGAGAATAGACAATAGAGCAGCTGTCTTGCACTGGCACCCTGCACACCAGCTGTCCACTCTTATCTGCACACACACTTTCGGGGGATATTAAGAGGTGGAGCTGTGTGCATAGAATTGGAAAAAAGGACTTCTGACCCTCACTGGGAAGGGAAGGGGGGTGAGGGGCTGTGGGGAAGGGAGCAATTGTGAGTCCTCTTTTGTCTGTGTGCAACTGTATTAAGAAGAATGCTCATCCCCGGCGATAAGTAAAGTGCCCAGTTACGGGGCGAGATCAATACTTCTGCAGACTCCAGAGATTAACTCAGCTGCGCTTAACTGCCCTGACCTAGTAAAAGGGGCTCACTCCCCACCCGCAAGGTGCTCTCGGGATCGGATTTGTAAAAGGGAGGCGTTCGACCCTGGTGCTGACGTCTCTCCCTGCTTGGTTTGTTTACAGCGATTTGTTTGCCTGGATGCGACGAGCAACATGGCTTTTGCGACAAACCTGGGGAATGCAAGTAAGTTTTCCACTCCCCTCCTGCTCCCTTCTTTGTCTTTAACGTTGATGCTTTGGTGTTAAGTAAGCCATTGGTCATTTGAAGGGTCGCTTTAAATAACTTTCTTCATATTAGATGGTAATTTGAGAAATCCAGGTGATGCCAGATCAAAGTATTAATCTACAAGTCAAACATCAGTGCCATTAATATTAACCTAATGAGTTTACAGTGCTGTGTGTAAGGCTGTTTGTTATTAGAGTAAACAAATTAACTACCTGGAACCATGGCTCACTCTAAGGAAGTGGAAGAAATAGCTGGGACCCATGAACGCTGATGCTGTGGTTGGACTTGGCGACTTTCTCACATGAAGGATCACTGAGGGCTTTTAGGAAACTTGATCCCTGGCATCAGTGTGTTTGCAGAGTTTGTGATAGGGCTTCCAACTCTGAGAAGTCTAAATATGATGAGAATTTGTTGGGTTTTGTTTTTTTTTTTCAGATGCAGAGTGGGTTGGCAGGGACGATATTGTGATGAGTGCATCCGATACCCGGGCTGCCTTCATGGTACCTGTCAGCAGCCATGGCAGTGCAACTGTCAGGAAGGCTGGGGTGGCCTTTTCTGCAACCAGGGTGAGTTCTCAGCCCTTGCCTGAGTGTCTGTTTTAAAATGCAGAAAGCAAGCAACTATATCCAGCTCACCCACCCCATGCAAGCCTTGCAAAGTAGCAAGTGTCTTGACTGCCCTTTTTATTAAAAAAAAAAAAAAAAATTTTTTACAGACCTGAACTACTGCACCCACCACAAGCCCTGCAAGAATGGTGCCACATGCACCAACACTGGTCAGGGGAGCTACACTTGTTCTTGCCGACCTGGGTACACAGGCTCCAACTGCGAGATTGAAATCAATGAATGTGACGCCAACCCTTGCAAGAATGGTGGAAGCTGCACTGTAAGTTTGAGTTGCTTGTGCCACCTGGAACCCCAAGGGAGGAGTTAATGTCAGTCTTACTAATTTTCATAATCACTTCTTGGATTTCAAAGCAACTTCAGCTAAATATTTTGACCATTTCTTCCCCCCAGGATCTTGAGAACAGTTATTCCTGTACCTGCCCCCCGGGCTTCTACGGTAAAAACTGTGAGCTGAGCGCAATGACTTGTGCTGATGGACCATGCTTCAATGGTGGGCGATGCACCGACAACCCTGATGGGGGATACAGCTGCCGCTGCCCACTGGGTTATTCTGGGTTCAACTGTGAAAAGAAAATCGATTACTGCAGTTCCAGCCCTTGTGCTAATGGTAAGGCCAAACATGCTACAGTGACCTTCTAAAAGGAGACCATCCAGTTACTTTGCCTTCTGGTCTGGAGTTCATAACAAGGCCCACTGATCAATCACGGTCCATGTCAAGTCAGTAGTTGACTTGGTGGAGGAACTGTACTTAAAAAGTAATGGTGTGGTTCGGGCCATGCTGTAGGCTGCATTTTCTCAAGGGGTGATGGCAGCCAGGTAACTTGGCCTGAAGCTTCGTGCATAAGAATGTGGAGGGTTATACTTGCAAATGTTTTGCAAAGACTCTTTGAGGTCTGTGGCTGCAAAATGCCACACAACTGCTAAATATTATTGCTTGTAATCTAGTAACAATAATCCTCCTGTTTTGATTAAACCAGTGAAAACTTTCTTTACTGCAGTCCTCCTCATTCATTGCCACTCCAACTCTGTAACGTAAGATTGTGGTGTTAACCTGATCTGGACTAGCTTTGTTGTCCAAGCTGAGTGAAATGTTAAAAAGGGAATAGGATGGAGAATGAAAAACAGGTCTGGTTAACAAATATCTGCCTTAAAAAAACTCTGTACTTTTTATGGTGGATCAGACTCCGCAAAGGTTGAGCTAACCTCTCGGAAAGAGAGCTTTTCTCAGCTGCCGGTTGTGATGGTTGCCCCGAGAGCAGCAGGTGGGAGGCTGTCGGGTCTGGCTGCCCACCACTCAGCGCCCGTCCCCCTTGATGTCTTGCAGGAGCCCAGTGCGTCGATCTGGGGAACTCCTACATATGCCAGTGCCAGGCTGGCTTCACCGGGAGACACTGTGATGATAATGTGGACGACTGCGCCTCCTTTCCCTGCGTCAACGGAGGGACCTGCCAGGATGGCGTCAATGACTATTCCTGCACCTGCCCCCCGGGATACAACGGGAAGAACTGCAGCACTCCGGTGAGCAGATGCGAACACAACCCCTGCCACAACGGGGCCACCTGCCACGAAAGAAACAACCGCTACGTCTGTGAGTGCGCCCGGGGTTACGGCGGGCTCAACTGCCAATTTTTGCTCCCCGAGCCGCCTCAGGGACCGGTCATCGTCGACTTCACCGAGAAGTACACGGAAGGCCAGAACGCCCAGTTCCCCTGGATCGCCATCTGCGCCGGGATTATTCTGGTCCTCATGCTGCTGCTGGGGTGTGCTGCTGTGGTCGTCTGCGTCAGGCTCAGAGTGCAGAAGAGGCACCACCAGCCTGACGCCTGCAGGAGCGAGACTGAGACCATGAACAACCTGGCAAACTGCCAGCGCGAGAAGGACATTTCCATAAGTGTCATTGGTGCCACTCAGATTAAAAACACAAATAAGAAAGTAGACTTTCACAGCGATAACTCTGATAAAAATGGCTACAAAGTCAGATACCCATCAGTGGATTACAATTTGGTGCATGAACTCAAGAACGAGGACTCTGTTAAAGAGGAGCACAGCAAATGTGAAGCCAAGTGTGAAACATATGATTCAGAGGCAGAGGAGAAATGTGCAGTACAACTAAAGAGGTATCTCTCACATCTGAGCGTGGGGGGCAGCTTGACTTTGAAGAGGGCGGGGGGTGTGTCTCATAGGTAGTGTTAAGCAACAGCCGTCTGACCGGTGTTGTCTCTTTTTGTCTTCAATAGTGATACTTCTGAAAGAAAACGACCAGATTCAGTATATTCCACTTCAAAGGACACAAAGTACCAGTCGGTGTATGTCATATCAGAAGAGAAAGATGAGTGCATCATAGCAACTGAGGTTAGTATACTGCCCGGTGGTTGGAACAGCAGAGAAAATTCTCGGTGCGCAACCCACACTGAACACACCTCAGGGCAGCTGAACTCTCTTCCATGGTGCCACAGCCATTTGTACCTGTAGAAATCCAGCCAGCTCAAGGCTGTCACGCTGCAGATGTTGTAAACACAAGCTCAGTGACTTGCTGCTGTGGGGGCTACGGGTATGACGACTTTGCCGGCAAGGGTATAGTGATAGTGTGGTTGCGGTCTGCTGACCTACCCCTTAGTGTGCTTCATGCAGAGGCTGTTCTTGCCCGGCATAAAGACAGTGGCCCGACCCTCTGCAGCCTTCCAGCCCTCTTCTTACTTTCCATTAACCATTCCTGATCTCTGCTCGTGTTTTCTCTCACCAGGTGTAAACCAGAAGAGATATGGCAAGGTGGTTGTTCAGAACAATTTCAGAGGAGACGCGCCCCGATGAATGCTGCTGAGAGAGGAATGGGAGATAGATTCCTTCACTGACTGCTGCTGAGAAACTAAATTCAGGCTTGAGCTGGTTCTCTACTGAAGTTAGCAAAGTGACTGCAAAATAAAGAAACAAGATGGACATCAGGCAAGGGTCTGTGTTCAAGGATTACTGTTGCACTGCCTTTTATGAATTTTATCATTGCACTATGGTCAGTTGCTTTTCTATATATATTTAAATGAATGGACTTAATTACTACATAAGAAGCATGCACTGCCTGAAGTGTATATTTTGGATTCTTATGAGCCAGTCTTTTCTTGAATTAGAGACACAAACACTGCCTTTATTGTCTTTTTTGATACTAAAATGTGTTTTTACTAGGTGAGAAAAAGTGTGTTATTTTTTTGAATCTGTAAAAATATTTTCATGATAATTGTAAAGCTTGAGTATTTTGTGATGTTCATTTTTTTATAATTTAAATTTTTTGGTAAATATGTACAAAGGCACTTCGGGTCTATGTGACTATATTTTTTTGTATATAAATGTATTTATGGAATATTGTGCAAATGTTATTTGAGTTTTTTTTACCGTTTTGTTAATGAAGAAATTCATTTTTAAAATATTTTTCCAAAATAAATATTATTAATGATAACCAGAGTGCTACATTTATTCCATAACTGATGACGAGCTGACTGAACCTTGAAACCAGGCATCTGACAAGCTTCTGCAGACTCACGGGTGGATGGGGTAGGACTGAGACCTACCACAAAGACTGGGGTACAACTTGTTCTGTGTAGACCCACCTCTTTCCCCTCCTAACCTTCTGAACTGTTGACCCTACGGTTGTGCTCACTCTTACCCCAAAGGTGAATGTCTGTCAAAACCTTGAGTAATGTTTGCTCAGTCATGTGGGGCCGTGTATATATAACCACACACGGCATCACTTCCCGAGGAAGAGCAACATGAGCGCGCTCTGTCGCAACCCAGATGCGGGGCTTGTCGTGACTCAGCTCTTGGCTTCTCAGAACCCCAAATGCTGGCCTGGAGTTCAGGGGAGTTTGGGACTCCCAGGGCACGCCAGTGATGGTCCCCCAGTCCCACCTGCCCGGGGGGTGGCCCTTCCCTTGCCAGGAACAGGTGATGCTGGATTGACTGGTGGCCACAGCTCTCCTGGTTATGATAGCTGTCTGAAGTATTAGTCGCATCTTTGGTTTCTGCTCTGCCCCGGTGTCTGCTGCCTTCGTATTGGGGCAGGGTGTGATCCCATCCCCTGTCTTGGCCCCCAACGCTCAGGCAATTTCCCCCATTTATTTTGCCCTAACTAGCTCTCCTTCAGGTTGTACTGCGTGTTAATTAGCAGAGGCCCTTCAGAAACAGGCAATGTGTTCTTCCACTTTTGGAAAAAAAGGAAAATCTAGGAAATAATTTCCTTTTTGCTTCATTAAAGCTGAACCCCAATCATTGTGGGCCACCTCCTGCAGCTTCAGGCAGCCGATGAAACTCCTCTGTTCCCATTCGCTTCAGGGGAGGGGGATGCTATCCTAAACACAACGAGTATAATCAAGCAATTATTGCAGCTGGTCATCTATAACTCTAAAGTATATATGTGCTCAACCTTGTTTTAGGGGACGTAAGTACCTGGACCAGTGGAACCGTACGTTGGTGTGAGGTCAGTGGGAAGCTCACACTGACTGCAGGGGCTTGTCCCTCCGTAAAACCTTCTGGCTAAGCCAAACCTTAGACAAGATCTACTGACTCACTTCTCATGAGGTGACCCGGCGGCGTCATCCTCTTCATTTATCCCAAAGTGTCTTTTTAGGGGAAGTGTTCATGAGGAGAGCGATGTATTAAAAACCAGCCTGTCAGTGATGGTCTGGACGGCATTTTCAATCTAAGCAGTAACATAACAACCTGCCAATAACCGGTCAATGCATCATATATTAAATGAGGCACGACGGTGCGTATGGCAGCAGGTGTTCAGAGCAACATAATCTCGCAGATTGGACAAACAAGCGAGCCTTGGTAGGTTTTATTGCCATCTCTGTTGCTGATTTGCTCTTCAACCTTGGGCAAATCACTTTATTTCTCTCCGTTTCCTTTTCTGCCCGAGCTTTTTGGAGCAGCCTTGTCTCTTATGAAGCACTGCTCTTTGCACAGTCAGTGCCACGGTCTCAGCTGGGCCCTCTTAATGCTGCTTCTGTAGAAGCAGCAGTGACGGACGGACGGTCATTGATGGCTGAGTGCCTCTATTACGTCAGGTCTTTAGAGCTACAGCAAGTGCTACTTGAATATGACGACGGGTGAAGGTCTGGAAAAGCACGGCAAGGCAGGCAAGGCCCAGCGAAGGTGCCTGCCGGCCTCAGCCCTGCCAGGGCAGTGCTCGCCCCGGGACGGGAGCTCTGCTGCCAAAAAGCGCAGGAACCTCCCCGTCAGCAGGGTCCCCGAAAGGCCTCCTCACGCTAAAACGAGAGGAGAGCCTGCCCGGGGAGGCCGTTTAGCTGGGACAGCTGAGAATTCAGGGCCTGATCCAAAGCCCGTTTAAAATTAATGGAAAGGCTCCAACGAGCTGGAGGGACACATGGCTCCGTGCCCCTCCTGACACAGCCCATCCCCGGGCTCTCCCCGGGGGAAGCTGCACGTACCGATGCAGCGCGTGTCCCTGCGGGTGGGGGGCATGAAAGCCCACGGCCGCTCTAGCCAGCTGTAGCCCCCCCGGGTGGCTTGTCCCCCTGTCCCAGGACCTTGGGGGGCCTGGGGTCCCTCCTCAGGCCATTGCTTTGGCGATATCCCTTCATGCCCCCCCACCTCGGCCTGCAACACCTCCTCCCCTCCATCCTGCAGCGGCCGGGGAGGGCTTGGGCCTCCTTTGGTGGCAGGTCTCAAGAGGGCGGCTGGCGAGGGCAGCCCTCAGCCCACGCCTCTGCCCGCAAACCTGTTTCTCCGCGGCAAGCGGCATTTGCAGGGCTGGCACGGCCAGGATTGTGTCAGGAGCTCGGAGGCACTGAGACAGCAGGAGAGGTGAGCTGCAGGGAGGTGTTAGCCACCCTGTTCGTGGAAGGGGACTTTTTAAGCGAGGCACGTCACGGCTTTCGAAACGTAGGAAGCTTTGGGTTCAGACAGCACGTCTCGGCTTTAATTGCAAGACGCGGGTTTACAAATTGCTTTAAATTGATGTTTGTGCTTGCTTTGTACACAGTGCAGGAGGACGGCTTGGGTGTCAGGAAACTTGGGTACTATTCCTGGCTCCACCGCAGACCTGATGTGTAACCTTGGGAGAGGAAGGATGGTCTTGTGGTCAAGGCGCTGCCGAGGGACTCGGGAGGGCCCCCTTCTATTTCCAGTGCTCCCTCCAGACTTCCTGTGCAACCTTGGACCCGTGTCGCTTAATCTTTCCAGGACCTTAGGAAAATGGGGGCCTCCTGGTTGTGCTAACAGGGAGAAGGTCATTTGTGCTCGTGAGAGGATACCAACGGTGGTGGGGAATGTTAAAATACCCTCCAAGGCGAGTAAGGCTATTTCCTATCTCTGGATGTCAGATTGCTTGTCTGCAAGGTGGCGAGCTATTTTTGCAAAGCCCTTTCAGATGCTTGCATGGAATAAAGACCCCGATCACAATTGAAACATCCGTCATCTCAGGGAGGATACGCAAACCCTGCGCTGGCAGCAGCAAGGAGACAAACTGGCGGGGGGGCAGGGAGGCAGCTGTGGTGGTCTAAGTGTATGCTGGGGGGATGACGTGATGCGGCTGTGTGCCCACGGCCCAGGAAGGATGCCACGCATGGTAGTCTTAACGTGAGGGGCCACGGTGCCATCAGCCTCCTCTCAGAGATCAGCACCTGCCATCAAGGTCTGTAGCAGGCTCTCTTCCAGCAAAACCGTTTTGCAGGTAGAGATACAGATTCACCTCGGTTTGGGACTATGAGGGATAAGGAGGAAAGCTGCGGAGATGATACAGGCAGGAATTCTTCAATGACAGACCCTGGGAAACCTCCCTATTGTTATGGCCTAGCATCCAAAGCCATCTTTTTCAAAGAAAATGACCTGAGAACTACTTCTAGGCCAAATCCCAAACTGAGTAGCAATCTCTTAATGGTGCCTGACATCTACTTGTGCCAGGCAAATGGGGAGCCTCTCCATTCCCTTCCCTCCTCAGGAACCACTTCTTTCACTTGGCTGATAAGACCTGGCAGTCTGCCTGTGTCTCTGCTACCTACTATGCAAGTCAGAGAAATCACAAGCCTGGCTGGAAAAGACCCAATGTGCACTACGAGGCAGATTTTCAGAGGAAACATGGGGCCTACCGTTGTGAAAACGTGACAGCTGATCTTGCTTCTTGCGGTGAGGCAGAGGTGGACGACAGACCCGCTGCTGTGCGGGGGCTGCTGCCTGGTTAGCAGGGCAGGGAAGTGGGGGAGATGGGGCTGGAGGTCACAGCATCCTTGTGACAGGTTGGCTGTTTTTCTTAGGAAGAAACAACCCTGGTCTTTTCTCCTGCTGCTGTGGCCAAAACCAGCACAAGCCTCATCTCCTGCACCAATAAATTCAACACTGCTAGGGCTGGTCTCTGGCCCTGCAGCCAGCTGGTGTGGATCGGTCTGTATCCGTAGTGTTAAAGGGCCTTACTCTCCCAAACGGACTGCTTACATCCACGCTGCCTGTGGGGAACGGGTCCTGCTTTGTGCCTAGGAACAGCCTAGGACAATGCTAACTGCGGGGACAAAAGCATGGCAGGGACTACTGTCGCAATGCAATGATACAGCCGTGGGGGTAACGGTGAAGGTCAGTGCAGACTCATGTCACCTACTAGGGGCAACTATATAAAGTGGCATTGCGTACTTTAAAGCCTGCTCTGTGCATGGGTTATATATGACTAGGGTGATTTTTTTCATGGTATAAAACTATACCAGCTGAACGGCCAGTGTGGATACAGCTACACTGAAAGAAAGGTGATGTACATCAGTGCAGATACCTTCCCTCCCCTTCCCTTGTTTATTTATCTAAGCCGTGCTAGTAAAAGCAACTTTATACCACTGCGTTCTCCAGAGCATGTCTGCTCGGCTATAAAGATGCAGGTATAATTCAGAAAATACCTGGCTGTTGGGCCAAGGCTCGAGCGCTTACAGCTGTGCGGGCTCAGAACTGCAAGTTAGGGCATCTATCTCCACCGGGTAATTTCCCAGGGGGCTGAGCAGGAGAAAGGATCAGGACGGGGATGTCCTGTGTTCTCTTTCGTAACATGAAACTGGAACTTTGTGAGGACAGCACTTTCTGTGGGAAAGGACAGAACAGATAGGCAATTCTGACCAGCCCTTAGTGGGGGAGGACGTGTGCTGCAGAGAGCCCTTCCTGCACCCAGCTCCCCCCACTGCCAAGATGTTCACGCTGGAGGCAGTTGCTGATCATTTCTAATCAGAATTTTTACCTAGCAGAAAATGATGCTTTTCCACAACACTTTGAAGTCAATATTTTTATGAAAGAGATTTTCAGTGGGGAAACTCTTTTTTAGCTATGGTAAACTGAAATGCCCTCTTGAAAAACTCTCTTATGAGTTTCACTTTCTTCGTGAAGCAAGATAGCAAAATGACAAGTAAGTCCTTCCTGGCAGACAGCAAATCAGCCGAAAAAG